AGTGCCACAGCCCGCGGGACGCCGTACGAGAACGAATGACAGGGTTGCCAGTACTATTGTTTTTTGGACAATAATCCTTTTCAGAGTTAAAATAAATTTGGCAATTTTCATGTTTAAATGAAAAGTGTGTCTTATCTAATAACTAAGCGGTTACTCGTGCAATGTAAAGGTATCATGTATTGCTTAAATTTTATCCTCCTTTTCCCATTTAGTTTTGGTAATGCTGTACACTAATGGGAAAGAAAAATACTAACAAGCGTAATGCGTGTAACCTTCTTCTAGACAGAACATTCAAAAGTAATTTGATGTTCCCCAATCCACTTGTATCTATTAGGATTCATTCAGATCGAGAGAGATCGCTTTTGAAATATGAACCTTATGAAGTTGAGTTGCAAATTTTACGCCTCTGTGCTCATGGATATGTTTGTTTGCGTACGATTTAAAACCTACCTACTCATTTTAGCAAACAATTTAAATTGACGCAAATTACTTTAAATTTACACTTTTTTGCAAACTTTATGTTGGATATATTGTCATATGCATAAATATATCAGATAAATATCTATCGTCTTTCTAACAGTTTCAATTGATATATTTCGAACATGAGTAGAATCAAGGTTGCCTTCTTATATTTTTCCACTGCATTTGGGTTATCGACTTATAAAGGTTAAATAAAAACTTGATATTATATTTTAATGTCCTATTTATAATGATTGTGAAATACATGTGTAAACTTTACACAAACAAACTTCGGTATTTACGGACCGATACGACCTTCAAACCTTACCTACGATAAGAGCGTACTCCTTCCTAAAACAATGCGTTTGTGACTCCTGAGTTGCAGACGTTCATGGGCGGCGATGGTCACTTTCCATCAGGTGACCCGTCTGCTCGTCTGCCCCCTCTATTATAAAAAAAAATAATCTAACCAATAGTTTCTAAAATTAGCGCTTACAACCAAACAAAATCTTCAACTTTAAAATATTAGTGCTGACTATAAACTTAAAAAATCGGACTTTAACTTTACTATATAAAATTATACTTTAAGTTTACTACATAAAAAAAATCATGTAATTAATATATTTAAATAGGATTCATGTGGGTGCTATGTGACCACATTTGTTTTATTTTCTATAAATATTAGATTTGGAGAATCAAGAAAGTAACTTGTGAAACTCAAAAACTGATGAAAAAAGCAAATACCAACAAATTAGAAAAAAAGGCTTTATAAAGTAATTTAAATACGAGTAATCTCTTAACAGGAAAATCTTCAAAAAGAATTAGAACTTTTAAATGCAGCGCAAAATTAATCAGGGTAGATTGAGGTAATAGCAGTAGTAGCAGTAGTAGCAGTCGTAATGATGTAGGATAGGCTGGAGAGGCGCCATGGCAACCGGGGGACCGCATGGGACATGACTGCTTAGAAATGAACACTACTGCTACAATGAGGATACAGAACTGCACACTCTGTTGGAGTCCACTATTTCGACGTAGAAGAGCGTCGACCTTACAGCGATCATTGGTGTGAGAAGCAGATTTTCGTTGGTTAAAGGCGCTTCTCAAAAGGCTCTACCCGAATTCTATTTTTCTACCCGAAATTGGTTCCCTGACCTGGCGCTTAGAAGGACCGCTCCTGCAATTGGTCCCGTAGGCCAGCGTTGACTTCGTGTCTACAACCTTATGCTACGGTGTTTACGTAGCACCTACAAAGCTATGTAGCTCGGAGCTTTTGCACTTACGAAGACCTAATATACTGATGTATTACTCAGTAACAGTTTGTGTTAAAGAGTTTTCGAGTTAAAAAATACAGTATTCTAGAAAGGATCATAAACACCATAGGTCGCTTTCAAAAAACTTCAAAAGATAAAAATATCCATTTTTATAAACTTTTCCAGTAGCAACCCTCGCTAGTGAGTAAGGGTATCGTAAGGAGTGGGGCTTGGGTCCAAGGGGTGAGGGGGGCGCATGCGCGTTGAGCCCGGTCGGTCGATAGGTGGGTAGCACCAGTCCGCGCCGCGCCGGGCCACAGCGAGCCCGCGCCGCGCCGCCATGAGGGCGCGCGCGCCTATATCTGTCCTCGCACTGATCGCGATATATGCAACCTTCTGCCATGCCGAGAAGAGCAAATTCTGTGAGTTATTTTACATATAAAAATTAAATTAAGAAAAACACCGAGAAGACTACTTTACTATAAACTTTCGATTTACTTCTTTAGGTACATCAGAAGCTTGAATTTTACCGCTTTCAGCTTTTACGAGTATAACATAATATATCCACGAATATACTAATATACATACTTCATACACCATATCTCCATTTCGCGGCAAAATTCTTTCAAGAAAGTAGCAAGCAACCGTACAAGCGTACCTACTTTGATAAAGTACCAAGTACTTAAAAAGACGTTGAGTTTTAAGCCTTTCTGGAATTGAATGCCTCGGGTTAGTTATGTAAAATTTCGTTTTCTTATATTGCCCCAAAATATGTAGGTCAATGAGACAATAGGCTTAGGACGGAGCGCGTCCGCGCCTCTAATATACCATACGATTCATTACTCGTAGTTTGGGCGTGAGACCTTCTTTATACCATCCTTAACGACATTAGGTCGTTACGGAGACGTCTCGTTAACTCTAAATTATGTTTCATAAAGGTTTATCTGTTTGATATTGTTTTGTTAGTTTTTTATACAGGTTTTCTTGAAGAATTTATGTTTTATGTTGTACATTTGTACGTGGTATGTCGTTTTTAATCTTAATGCTGTTGTAAATGCGAAAGTTTTGAGTTTGAAATGACATTTATTAGTCAGTCATGCAAGTACGTCTGACCGAATCTGGATGAAATTCGGCTCAGATATAGATTAGTCTTCGTATTTTGAGAAAAATGAATTGAAACATTAGACATCAAACAGTTAATTAACTTAGGCTATTAAAATAAGAAGACCGAAGAAAAGGACAATTACTTTTAAAATAGCAATGGAACTCAAATCCTATGTATTTTTATCTTTACTATAGACTAATATTAACTAACAAAATAGACAAACTCAGGCAAAATATCTGATTATCACACAACGTCTTATCCCGCATTGTATTCGAACCTAATATAAGCGTAAGGCGAGCACTTTAACCAGTACGCCATCCATACAGTCAATTACAATAATGTAATTAAATTAAATATACATTAGAATTGTCGAAATCCAGTCAGAATGAGTCAGTGGTGTGGCATGTGCCTGTTCTAATACGTAGATATCTAGAGAAGAAGCAAGAAGCAGAAGAACTGGCAAGAAACTCCAATAAGAACCTTTCCAAATTTTCTACTTCTTGATAAGATTGCTTCTCTTATTAATTCTCTTTGATTTCTCTTACTAATTTACTTATTAAACACTTACCTGTCACTCTATGGATTATAGTCCCTGTGTTATGGGACTTTGCACACGTCAGTATAAAACCTCCCGGGTATCATTCCATTAATACTGCCTCTGGGTGCTTGTAGCAACAGGTTTCGTAATAATGTGATGCCTACTCTATCTCCTTCTACCATCTCCCCTAAAAATTCTTGAACTCTACTTACAAGCAGATAAAAGGACAGTAGAGCTGTAACTAAGGCCTTTTATAAGCTGCAGGGTCTACTGCTGTATGTGGGGGTAGGTAATATTTCTATCTGAGATGTTATCTTCACGAAACCGGTAGGACCGTTGATATTAATAAATAAATATCGGGATATCGAATAAAGGATTGATATTTCGATATATCGATTATAATTAAAAAAAAACAGTAGTCCTTCAGCTTTAATTTAATTTAATGTAACAAGAAACCACAACTATTAGTATAGGTAAAGAAGGTTTTAAGTATTAAAGATTAGAGAGAAATTTTATCCTCTCGAGGTATATCTAGGAAATGTATTGTTTATTTTTAATTTTATTGGAAGAATATTGGTGAAACTACTTTTGTTTTTAGAATAATAAGTAAGTTAATAAGCCAGGGAAAAAACACGTAAATTAAGTTTACTATGAATTTTTAGTTCAAATAATTTACGAAGAAAAAATATTCATGATGTCAGACTATCGATATATCATAAAATATATCAGTAATAAATATCGATATTCCGATACATCGAAATTTTATCATCAGCCCTACAGTTAGAATCTCTCAAAACGGTAAGTTCCTAAAAAGGGCATGGAAAAATTTACTGTTATAGCCTGGACTCCTGGAGAGCCATGCTTCAGCGCAAATTGGTAAGTTCGACCGGATTGACAAAACGACATCACAAAACACCAAGAATGAGCACCAAGAAACAATTCTTTAGTGGCTTTTAGTGAGGTTACCGGAGCCCAAACCCTTAATTGTGGCCGGTAGGACGCAATACACTTGTCCATGGGCTGCGATAGTTACTTATCATTAGTTCATACGACTGCTCGTTTGCCCTCCTATGTGATAAATAATCTGTTATCTTAGTATTATAAAAATATACTTTTAAATTCTAAATTTTATTCCTTGAACTTTGAGTTCCAAATGTTTTCAAAGACAAAACATTATGATAATATATCAGAGTGTATAGGTATATATGTTAATCTGTAAATACAAAACAATATATTGAATATATATATATTTGCTTGTTGAACTTTAGATAACCTTAGTCATATATAAAATTACATAAATGAACATTGTCTTAACCTATTATACACTAATTGTTTTTAACATCATCACCACTAAAAAGTGGAACAGATTTTAATAAAACGGTTTTAGGTAAGTAACTTCACAGAGTTTCTTAAAGTATATAGATTATTTTGAATGAAAACAATTAAAAACCAGTTAAAAATGAAATCTTCTTTTATCCAGAACATTAAAGCTAGAGAAGCAGAGAGAAGGAAAGAGAAAAATGTACTATTTTTACCAATTTTGCCTTCGTCTATTCACATTCTAGACGGATTCTAAATCTAAGTACTTTGTTTTCCATACTTAAGTGCAACATATAACACTTACTAAGCTCCATTACAAAAAACCATATCATTTATTACCAAAATACTTGTTGATCTTCTGCCAACCGTCTGAAAGTTTACTAGCTATTTTATCCACCGGTCCTGGACCTCCGCAATGTCTCGGGCCACCAGCTAACAGCACAGTTTCCCCTGGAGACAATCTCAAGGTCTTCTCCATCACAAGATGAGATGCAACGGAGAAGCTGGAGCCTGCAGAGCTGGTAGCGACAGTCATCTCTGCTGGTATTCCTGGGATTCTCGACAGCTGGACTTCTGTAGGTTCCATGGCTACATTGGCTATTAATAGCAAAGATCCAGATGAACCCCATCTGAGGACGGCGACGGCCCCATTTAGACGTTTTATCTGCAAATATGAGAACTTCGGGATGAGTGACACTTAAGACCATATGTACCTACGTGAGACGATGCATGTCCATGTGGTGACGGCTTAAGAATACGAAGTGTCCCCACTCCTGTACATCCCGTGGGTGTCGTAAGAGCCGACTAAGGGAGCAAACTACGCAAGACAACAACACTCCAAAGAGGAGGAAAACTTGACACAAACCCGTAAAGGGTCAACCCGTCTGGCTACTGTGGTATAGTGCGCCAAAACCTCCTTTCTAAGGAGAGGCCTATATCCAGCAGTAGACTATTAAAGGTTGCTGATGTGATGATGTGATGTGAAATGAGGACCAAAAGAGACCCTAAAAATAGAAATAACCATCTTTAAAGCGTGTCGTGTCAAAAAAGCTCAATCTATGTAGAACTTTTGAGTTTTTTAAGCGTATACAAACCAACTTCAAATTGTAAGTTGGCTTGGACCCAGCAAAGATTTATGGCGGTTTTCTGAGAGAAAAAATAGCCTAAGTTACTACTTATACAGACAGCTACCTGGTAGTAAAATATTATCAAAATCCGTCCTGTCGTTTTGAAGATTACCCGGAACAAACAGATAGACAAAAAATATTTCAACTGGTTTTTAGGCATAGGTATCGTGCAAATAACCATGTGAGCATAAAAAAAAAACCTATTATTTTGACATTACAAACACACACTTTTGACGTTGTTTATGATCGTGGTCTTCATGTGACAATTGTTATTAAATCAACATCACTTTATTTCTAATATGAACAGGAAAAAAATCTTACAAATTATTGAGAAATACGAAATCAATGATATTACTTTTACGGCGCGAGATCATTGGGGCAATAATTGCTATGAATTGCGCAGGCGTTTGATGCGAGATTGCTGTGTAAAGTCTATAAGGCGTTTTATATATATATTGATAGTCACGTTTTATACTAAACATAGCATTACCGACACTGCAGTCGCTTCTCATTACGTATTATACAGGCGAACCCAAGCTTTTTGGTGGAATTAGAAGGTAATTCCAGTTTTAGGTTAATTAAATTTAATTCCCATAGATAGTTTTAGTTTATTAAAATGCACACTACGTAAAAACCACAGCAAAAGAGATTAATTTGCATTATGGTTTGTTTTTAGGATCGATAATAATATTCATACTACTTCATACTTCATACTCATAATAATACCGACCAACACTATTTAATACTAAATTACAAACGGAAAACGATTGTTAATCAATGAATGGTACAGAATATCGCATAATTTTTAAATCTCCGATAAATTTGTTACCTCGACATGTGGTCCAAACGCTGGAGATTTCCTCAAAGCAGCTGCGACCCTCACCACACCAACATGACTGAAGTCATTAGCAAATTCAGCCTTCGCGTTAGCATATCTATGATTCGGAGCCAAAGGCAGCCAGGGCTCTCCATTCGTGAAACCTCCGTTATTAGAATCGTCCCAAGGAAATGGAGATTTAGATGGAGCAGGGCTGGTTGGCCAACAAGTGGTGCTCGTAGTCCATTCCAGGAGCGTATCTGCTCCTCCCAGCTCATCTCCTTGTTGGATAACTGCTGATCCAGGTAGTATGAGGGCTAGAAGGTTGATGGCGTCCACCATTTCGCTACCGAACCTCGTGGCTGTGCGACTTTCATTGGTTGAGCTTGTCTGCAAATTAAAACTCTTTTAAAAAGAAAATATCTTAAATCTGTAAAAGTATTATGAAGGTATTGACATTGCCTGTTAATTAATAAGGTATTACCACAAAAAAAAACTGTACAAAACGCGGTTGGGGAGTTTAAATTCCGTCAGTAACTGTGTGCGAAACACAGCAAGTGAAAGAGTACTTCAATTATAAGTCAAAAAATATTCGATAATATTGAGTTACAAAAACCATGGAGTAATAAAGATTGTTATTAAAAACCAGTCTAATTTAAAAAAAAACGCTCATCTCAAAGTATTACACAGTTATAATTACTTCTAACATTTTATATTATTTTTCTTAAAGTTTTACATTTATCTACTATGTTCAAAGCACATTATTATCTGTGGTCCCTGGAGCTGTTTATCGCAGATTAAATATTAGACAAAGCCATCAGTTAAACGTAGCATGAACTGAGTCCAGAGGACAATAATACGCTTTGTGATCTGGATGTTTTATGATTTATGAAGCCGTTGTAATTGCCGTCTAATTAATAAGCTAGCTAAAATGGGCTTATTGTGCCCGTTAAGATGACAAAGTTAAATAATATGAATGTTTTTAAACTATAGATTTGTTGCACGAATAACTTTTGACGATACGCATTTTTAATCGACTTCAAAAAAAGGTCTTAATTCGGTTGTATTTCTTTTTCACACAATTTTGTCAAGTCAATGATTTATAAAATAATTTGTTTTTTTTTTTTAATTTATGAAGCTTCTCGTTTGGACAGATTTGAATTTAAAAAAATCAACGCCTAAGGGTGGATGATTCGGGAATGAAAAATACAGTTCATAACAATTAATCAGAATGTAAGCGCATGTAAGCGCGAGTTTGAATTTTGTGGTACTTTTTTAAAAGTTAATTGAATTACACACTTAAATTACACATTATGTCTTACATATTGTGTTATTCAATTCATTGTGTATTAAAAATAATATTAACCTACTTAAGATTCTTAAGAATAAAGATAAAAAAATAATAGTTAAACCGAACTGTGGTAAAAATACTAACTAAAAAGCGAAATTTATCCCAAGTTGATCTCATAAAGGAGTCGAATACAATGATAACTCGTATGTGGAAACACATCAAACGATTTAGGGTGTACGGGCCAAAGAAAATATATAGTCAAAAGCATTACTGTCTTTTGGCACGCAGATAATTTCCTAAAGAACGCTCTCTCTATCCAGCCTGTGGGTTATTTACGTGTTTGTGGTTAAGTAACTCATAATTCCACATTTTTGTCACAGCAAAACTAAAATCTTTAAGTCAGGCGAACTGTATGCTTCCTATCGATATCGAAAAATATATTCGGAACTTGTTCAAATTCAGAATTGCTTTGTCGCTCGGTCTATCTAAAACAGCTTTAAACTTTCATATAAAACTTTTTATATATTAAAGTTTGAAGTTTTTTAGAAGGTCTCCACCCATAAAGTCCTACGCGTATTAAGTTATAACAGCTAATTTTAAACTTACAATCCATGTCGGGATGCAATCCTGTGGAGCCGTCAACACAGAAGCATATATACTCAGAATCATTTCAGGAGTAGATCTTGAAGAGAAAGTGAGGGCATTGCTTATTAAGCTGTTGACTCCCACGCCTCCATCACCGTAGTACATAGCCACCTCCTCAGGTTTCAAGGACGATTCTACTAGGATTACCCTGTAGAAATATTAACTAGGGTCATTTTTAAAAAAATAATCATTTATGAAGCCATATCATACTCTTAGGTCTATATCCTCAAAGAGGAAGGGTTTCTAACGCCCACATTTTACCAACTATAATTTTATTTCTATTTACTTTATAGAGAGCTGGTCTATTGCCGTCGACATTGTTATTTATAAAGAGTTATATAGCGATTAAATGATAAAAACGACCTATAGTATTTTAAATATCTACTCACGGCATATCCAATCCAGCACCCCTGGAGCAGCTCATAGCATTGGCAACCAGGTTTTTTACCATTTTTGCACCACACTGCTTATCTTTCAAGAAGTCAGGGCTAAGTAGGACTCCTGACACACCTCGTTTTATCCAAATGCATTGAGCGTTTGATAAAGCAGCTGCCACATTATCAGAACAGAGGTTTAATACCGCTTCCTTGTTGGAACTTCCCCAAAACGCGCTTCTACCTTCGTGGTATGTCCATGTGTCTATTCCATCTTCTGTCTGCAGAAATAAGTGTTAGAAAATTCATATATCAGCTCAGAAATTAAAGTTATAATACTTTAAGTGACTATTTTAAAATGAATTTTTAGTTTTTTTTTCTAACTTCTAATATTATTCTCAAATCTATTGCTAAGGTTTCTTAATCTGTACAAAAGTATAAAAGTCTAATTTCATGGCTGGATAATGAAAAAACCTCAAAAATATAACTGTACCTTATAAAAATCTCTGAAGACTAAATTTGTCTAACAATTTTAACTCTCACCGCCTATGAAATTATTTCGATCTTACATTACTTAACAGAGCCCTAAGATACCAAAACAATGGATACAAAGATTACAACTAGCATGAAGAGACTTACAGGTGGTACACTATTAGCTGTTCCATCTTTCCACACTATACGGTCTTCGTACCCAGGGACGCGGTCAGCATCAGATTGGAACCACTCAGAGTTTGAACTAACCGTTTGCAAGGATAGGGAAACCAGGAGTTTCAACTCTATGAGAAAATACATACAGTTTTAATACATAATAAACTTGCAGTATATACAACCTTTTTAGGTCTTCACTCTAACACTCTATTGACTTTCGGAAAACTGTATAAGGAATTTATCCATTGGATATACAAATGGTGGCCTTCTAATTCTAAGCAATTGTTTTATGGCCAACTATGGTGTCAAATGGGCTTGAAAAACGTTTTTGCAGTGTGAAGAATATTGCCAAAGTTGGTCGCAAACATCAAAAATATAAGACAACGTTAGTAATTTTAGCAGAATTTTAATTAGGATTTCATAGCGGTCTAATTTATTACCTAATTTCTTGGCCTTTTCCACAAGCTTACTAAAGTCATCCACGTTCCCATACCGCGGGTCTATCTCTTCAAATTGCAGAATCCCTGGTTTTGAACAGTCCGTACTTCTGCTAGCCAAGGGCGATAGTATCACGGCGTCAGCTCCAAGCGCTCGGATATAACTTATCTGTTTTATCACTCCTAGAAGGGGACACAATCATAAATGGCTGCCAGCTAGAAATATTAAGCATATGGGGTTTCGTCTCTTGTTGTTATTGGATGTTCTTGGATGTTATGTTTATTGTTTATGTGTTAATAGATTCACATAAACACATTGAAACCAGTTTTCCCCACTTAACATATCATTAATATTATTTAATAAAGGACAATATTTGGACTGATTTGAGAATTGAAAAGTAGGAAAATACTCATATATGAAGGCAAAGCTTGGTTATTTAAAAAGTTACGAATTCGTTTTCTTTTCGTTCTTTGTTTTTTTGTATTCTATTTATTTTAAAGAGATCGCGGTTTCAAATATTCGAGCTTGTGCTAGGTTCGGGTCCTTGATAATTTATTTCAAAATATCTGAAAAGAATATCTAAAGATTTTTAAGCAAATGCATCTCAAATCGGTCAGTGGGTTTTTCAAGCGTATGCAAACCAACAACATTTTTAGGTATTTATATATAAATTAGAATAATACCTTCTGTGAGTCATATTCGTAGCTATTAAATATATTAGAATAATGTAAATGAAAATGACTGCTGTCCAGTAGTGACTTTTGTGCCCGTTCTAGTTTTTTTTTTGTGGGATAGAAGGCAAATGAACGTTAGTGACATGTGATGGAAAGTCACAAGTGTGATGTGCCGTGTCAACTCCAAACTCAGGAAGATATGGGCTTCTGGTTTCTTTATTCAGTGACAGAATTGCTCAACATCGGTTTTCTGTGATGCGGTATGTGTATATTGTAGTTTTGTAAAATAAAAAATCAGGACAAGTGCGAGTCGGACTCGCCCACTGAGAGTTCCGTACACATTTGCAGGTACATATTATAAATAGTTCAGGAATCGAATCAAGCAGTTTTGCAGCTTTGCCCGAAATTCAGTTCTAAAACCTATAATTACTTGGTCTTTAGTTTTATAAGAGGAATTGTACCTCACGTAATTTAAATAAAGACTTCTTTACGATGTTTTTTTTTTATGATTTATTTACAAAATTAAATGTATATTTTTCAGATTTTTCTGTACTTATAGTTTAAGACGACGTTACTTGCAAAAATTTCAGAGTTTAAAGGTCAATGGGAATAACCCTATGAGTTTTGACCACTTCGAGAGTGTCGGCGTTTTTTGTGACATAAACTGCGGTTTCTTTTTTTTCACGTTAACTTAGGAGTTTGATTATTTTACCGCTTCAAGGGACCATGGACTTGAGTACACGGTTTTAATTTCAACCTGATACCTCCATCTTTATCTCGGGTTCTTTTTTATCTTTTGAGGTACGGAACCCGAAAAGTAACACTTCAAGTTGAGAAATTACTTTCTTTAGTTACTTTCTCTGTTATAACAAGGAAGAGACTCTCATTAATTTTCTTTTCATGTGGTTACATACCTTTTAGGTCCCCCAACCCATCTCCGTCCCCATCCTTGAAGGAGTCCACGACCACTCTGTAATAAACCACGCTAGTCCACCACGGTGGGACCACATTACTTCCCGTCACTTTGCTAATAAGTGTACACACGACCACAGCCCACCACTTCATGGTTACGATTATAAATGATGGTACAGCAATTTGTGTTAACCTTGCCGATAGTGATGGGATTTCATTTGGTATTTAGAAGCGGTTTTAGCGGTTTTTCAGGTGTCAGTAAAAGTCTAGATATGAAGCCAGTCTAAGCCAGCCAGTTTAAGCTTAGTGTAAGTAAAATTACTATATATATATTTTTTTTTTTTTTCAATGTTTTCGGACATAAGTAAAATGATTAGTATATATATTTTTTGTTATATTTTCGGACATTTAATACAAAACGCCATTTAGTTTTAAAACTAAGCAGAGCTTGTACTATGAAAGCTAGATTGACTGATAGCTAGATTTTTGTATATAGATTTTGTATATATTGAATAGTTACATATTATACTTAGAAAGTCCCAAACAAATATTTGCAGATCATACAACTATTTGGTCTAACCCGGGAATTGAACACGAGACCTCAGCACAGCAGTCGCACCCGCTACCACTGCACCACCGAGGCAGAGCAGTATGTGTGTGCCACGTCACTAGATATATTTCATTATAATGAATAACTTTCAAGAAATGAGTCATCGACTTCTTTCCCCCTAAACCATGACAAATTGTATTAAGTCTTGTTCTTTAGCCTTTATTTTTTCACCCTTTTAAAATAGCAATACCCTCAAGTACAACAAATGGCGTAGATATCGGGTAACTAACACAAAAAAACCTCCTCGTAGTCGGTTAAAAAAACCCGTCAAGTGCATAGTTGCCCCTCGCTCTCCACTTTTATAAGGTAAAAATTCAACTCTGCTACGTCGTAAACCATAAATAAGTACGATTTTATTAGTTATAAAGATTTTGACTTCCATAAATTACCAATCAGCAAATTTCTTATCAACGTTATCAAAGTAGGTGAAAATTAAAATGTAATAACATTTATATATATGTATATTTTCACCCGCGTAAATGTTGGCCTAGCCTATGTCTTTCCTCAAGAATCAAAGTATCTCCATACCGAATTTCATCTAAACCAGTTCAGCGGTTATTGAGCCCTCATACAAACTTCCATCCATCTTTTCACCCCCCTCAAAGATGAATTTTGGGATAAAAACTACCCTATGTCTTTTCCCGGACTCGGACTATCTCTATACCAAATTTCAACTACATCGGATCAGCGGTCTAAGCGTGGAGAGGAAACAGACAGACAGACAGATAGACACACTTTCGCATTTCACAAGTTCATAAATAAAAAACACTTAAGTTTTGAACGCAATTTTTTAATATACAACAACGCAATAAAAGTATATTCGATTTTACATCTACCAGTTTTTATCTAACATATTATTAACATGCTTATTTAATTAATTACTTATGTACAAAACATTCGAACTTCTTTGATTTAGGTCCTTGGTGGTGTTCGCAGTACTATGGCTTCGCCGGCTGCCAGATTTAGTTCACCAAAACTTACATTATCTCTGTAATTAAAAGAAAATATAGATAAATTAGTTGTGCTGTTCTATATAAACGATTTTCTAGATTTAACACAGACTTGTCAGTATTGGAAGACACCTAACTTTCAACCGAAGGAATTGCTAACACCGTTTTTTTGAGAGGCCGATTTATCACTATAATTGAGTTGGCTCATTTGTGCCAAAATATGGCTCTCCTATTGGATTCGAAAAAATCTTTGTATAGCCGAATTCCTAATAAGGGTGACAAACTTATGTACGACCCAAAGAAGCTTACTAGTAATCATTAATGTGAATGAAACTACGGCGATTGTCCAGCGACTTAAACTCATTTCGAAGTTTAAACTGATTAAAAACCTACTATAAGATTGTAGAACGTCAGCAGCAAATATGTTTATTGCAACAATAAAAAGTCATTTCTGTTTTCTGACACACAAATAAACCCCCGTGTAATCAATAAAGATATTTTATTGATAATAAATAAATTTACAACTATGTTGGTATTACAACAATATTGATAAACATCACCTTGGAACTAAATAGATTTTATCAGACCATAAAGATAAAACTGATTAAAAAACTGGAATATTAATCATTCGAAGTTTCAAGAAGAAAGGAAATTGACGGAATACCTTCACCTTGTGAAATTACCGGTATACATATATTCAACCAGCTTTTGCCCGCTGCTCCGTTCGAGTGTCTGTCAGTTAGCGCGGTAATAGGCCCATGTCCTTTCTTAAGAATCAAACTATCTCTATACTAAATTTCATCTGCGGTTTTTGATTCTCCATACAAACTTAACCTTAAAGGATTATTTCTTTGATACAAACTTCCATCCCCCTTTTCACCCACTTAAAGGATGAATTCTGGGATAAAAACTATCAAATGTACTTTCCCGGGACCCAAACTATCTCTAAACCAAATCTCATGTAAATCGGTTTAACGGTTTAAGCGTGCAGAGGTAACAGATAGACAGAGACTGTCTGTCTCTGTCTATCTGTCTGTCTGACACACATGCTTTGGCATTTAAAATATTAGTATGTATTTATACGTGTATATATACACATACGTTTTTATCCATAATGGGGTAAACCTAGGCGTGATGAAAGCCCACATTGACCATAATTTTTGTCCCACTTATGTAATAAGTAGCGAGTCCTCAAACGGCTGCATATATATTGTTGAATACTTACATATTATAGATAAATCATAACCTATTATTCAATCAACTAAAGATACTAATGTACGACAAGATACTGGGGAGTATTGAAATTTAACAATACACCAGTATTTATTAATGATATTTTATAGAATCTGTATTAATTAACACATAAAAAAATGTACCATTATTAAAAGAAATAGGGCGCAAGGAAGCATTTCACTTTGGAGTATTTTATGTGTACATATCAAAAATAAATTTAACAATATGAGCTACAATGATCAAAAATATGTAAAAACGGCTTTATAAAACAAATGTAAAGGTCTAAATAGGATAGACAGTGACAGTTTAAGTCGTACAACTCTACTACTAGGTACTGCTGATCAATTAAATAAAACAAGACATTTGAAATTGACGAAAATTGACAGCGAAGCCATCTCTACAATAAAAGAAAACCAGACAATTTTACAAAAACACACCTGTAGCCTCGAAGAGGAAGGAAAACACATATAAAATTTGGTGCCATTCATATTACGTTACCATCAAAAAAATTGAATCTTTTCAATAAAATTAACTCAAGTAAAATTTTGAAAATCTTACCCAGATACTCTGGTACTGTGAACACTTGAAGTATATACCACCATTGGCTCTTGCAGCAAGGATACATCTCTAAGGTCAACAGTATCGGGTGAATCCCCAACATTGAACACCAAAACGTAAGTGTCATAAGTACTGAGATACCGGACTAATACCATGGTATTCTCAGAAAGAGCCTCAATGTGGTACTGGCCGTGAGAAAGAGCTGGTTCTTTACGGAGCCTGGTTAGAACTTGGTATACCTGGAATAAAGGTTTTCCAATAGGTATTAACACATTAAAGACTCTGCCTGGATAAGTAAAAATATCTATCTGAAACTGAGGACTTACTTTGAAGTGACTTCTGTCTGCGTTTTGTTGAACCTCTACATTGATTTCCCTATAATCTGCAGCGACAGGTAACCAAGTCCTCGTAGCGGTTGAAAACCCAGCATTCATCGAACCGTCCCAATGGAATGGAGTTCTGCAAGGATCTCTAGAATACTCCAAGTAATTGTCTTCATTACCCTGGTTGATAGCAGCCACATCTACAGTGTCGTTCCAGCTGACGTAACCATCTCTCATACCGATCTCCTCGCCCTGGTAGGTGACTGCAACGCCTGGTAGCATCATATTGAGACTGTTTAAGCCATCAACCATATTCGGCCTGAACCTGGATGGCATGCGACTTTGGTCGTGGTTCCCAAACTAGAATAAAACAGAAATATCGTCGGGCTTGTTTGATGATACTTGTGTCTAGAATTTTTCATGAAATTTTATTGTGTTGGGGTATTACTGTGTTGAGTTAACTTACCACCCAGTTTGCGACATTTCCTTTAGGCATATACGTAAGCCAACGAAGTATAACGTACACAAAATCTCTGGCGTTGGATCCGGCATTTAAGGTAGTGATGAAGTCAAAGTTGAAAGGAAAGTGAGCTCCAACCCGACCTCTTTCGTCTCCGTAGTACAACATTGTATTGACAATATTGGAGTATGCTTCTGCCAGAAGGACCCTGAAGAAATTAGGAGAAACATTGAAGTAAATGCTTATAAAATTGTTTCTTAACTAATATTAAAATTCATAGACTCAGTTCTTAATATAACTAATAATATGAACTGATTTACACGTTTGCTTCCATTGAGCAAATTTAATTTTCTGTGTTTAACTTCTTTAATCATATACGTTGGCTTTTTTTAATCCCTTACTCCCCTTTTTAATCCCTGTACACCAGAAACAATAGTAGCGACCTATGAACGCACCGAGTAATGACACTCGGGAGGTTCCAGGAAAAGTTAAAATATCTTGGAACCCGCAACAAAATCAATCAGAAGTTAATTGAAGGAGTTGAAGGAGAAAAATATCATATATCCACTTCTCTCGTTAGCAAAACGGAAGATACAAAAACATTCAAGATACTGGTAGACTAAATTCCTTACTTAGTTTCCGACCCATTTGCCTGTTTCCAATCATCCACGGCCTTCCTCCAATCATATACTACATCATACAATTCTGGAAGGTCCCTAATGTGTTCCTGTGTCGTATACCCTATTTGGTCAGGTGTCAAGAACATATTCCCTGAAAGACGTTCGTCAGGGTATATCCCATTTGCATCAGGTGCAGTCTCAAATAAGTGAGGGATTGCATCAACTCTGAAACCGTCAGCTCCTTTCTCGATCCAGAAGGTCATAATTTTGATCATCTCATCTCTAACTGCTTGTTCTCGGAAGTTAAAATCGGCCTGCTCAACAGCAAATTGATGGAGGTAGAACTGTTGTCGTTTTTCACTCCACTCCCATACTGAGCCACCAAATTGACTAACCTAAAATTGATTTAAGATATATTATGAAATTGACTTTTCTCACTCAATCTTGGTAATGTAGTTGTTTAGCTCACCCAATTGGAGGGTACTAATCTATTTTGGCCCGTTGGGTCAGGTCTCGGATTAGCCCAAACAAAATAATTTTCATATCCAGGTTCTCTTGCTTCAGAGTTTTTGAAATATTCCGATTCTGTACTCGCATGATTTGGCACATAATCTAAAAGTACTTTTAAACCTAAAAACAACGAAAAATATCACTAGTTTTAATTATTTCTTTTTTGGTTATAAAATCTTATGAATAAATCTCATCACATCACATCAACAGCTTTTAATACTCCACTGCTGGACATAGGCCTCTCCTTAGAAAGGAGGTTTTGGCCTACTATACCACGCTGGCCAAACGAGTTGGTATAGGGTTTATGTCAAGTTTGCCTTCTTTTGCAGTGATGTTGTCCTGCGTAGTTTGTTCCCTCAGTCAGCTCTTACAACACCTACGGGATGAATTGGGGTGGTGACATTCCGTATTCTTAACCCGTCACCACACAGTCTGTCATTAATATTAAAAATCTTACCCAAATTTTGTGCCGTTCGTATTAGGTCTTCAAAGTCCTCCATGGTACCATATTCCTCATGAATGTTGTAAAAGTCACTTATATCATAGCCAAAATCAATCATGGGGGATTTGAAGATTGGTGAAAGCCATATGGCTCCAGCGCCGACGTTTGCCACATGTTGCAGTTGTTGTGTAATACCTAACAAGAATAAATTTAAATTGAAAATTTGTAGGTTAGAAGCTGAAAAATGATTTTTTTTTGTAAATGGTTTCGATTTCTGTCGTGAATATAAACCTAGTTTCTCAGAACCTAAAAATGGATTGGGTTAACAACCAAATTCGGAATTTCAGTTACAATGTACATGTAGAATTTAAATAAATCAAAATTATAATTAGGTTCTGAGTTTGGGAATGAGAAAAACCGTAGTTTAGGAATTTGTGTATTTGGGGCTTAATAGAAGAGAACTTCGAAACTCCATCAGGTGCGAACAGACTCTTTTAAAGCTTTTAGTACAATAATAAGTAGTTGTTCGAAGAGTGTGTAACTTCTTCATCATCAGCAACAGCCTTTAATAGTCCACTGCTGGACATAGGCCTCTCCTTAGAAAGGAGGTTTTGGCCTACTATACCACGCTGGCCAAACGGGTTATTGTACGATTTCCTTCTCTTTGCAGTGCTGCTCGACACCCCCGGGATGAATAATAATAACGTAACTTAAACCTAATTTATTACGTTCAATCAATATGAGAAGTATTAAAATCATTACTAAAGTTACAAAATCTAGATTTTTACTTTTTTAACGTAACGTATTTTGAGGATTGTGAAGTTAGTTTCCATACTTTCACAGTTATTAGGATAATATTTTACCGAAAGGCAAAAATATTTTAGAAAACTGAAAATTTAGAAGAGATTTCGTCTCCAATATGTGATTTTAATTCAATTAATAACGCTATAACGTTTTTTAAAATATATTTATAATTTAGCATCGTTTTACATAGTTACATACTCATATAAACAGGACTAATTCCATCAGCTTGGCCAATGCCACTTAAGTGTGTATAGGTTGTCATTTTGTAAATTTAACATTGTGTTAAGTTAATATCTTAATAATAACTTAACACCATGGTAACCAGTCTGCTGATAAACATACTTTTATATTTATAAATATACTAGCTGACCCGCGCAACTTCGTCTGCGTCTCTCAATAGTAATAAATTTTCTCCGTTTTTGAAACATTCTTCATTGGTGCTCCGCTCCTATTGGTCTTAGCGTGATGATATATAGCATATAGCCTTCCTCAATGAATGGGCTATCTAACACTGAAAGATTTTTTCAAATCGGACCAGTAGTTCCTGAGATTAGCGCGTTTAAACAAACAAACAAACTCTTCAGCTTTATAATAGTAGTATAGATACACATAATGGATAAATTACACCCAGACACAGAACAAGTGAAAATATGTATTATAGATAAATTGATACCCATAAATATACTTGCGTCCCTTGGGACACCTCTAAATCAAAAGACACAAGTGCCTTACCGTTCTTTGAGTGCTCCCTCTACCAAAATTAGAGGGGGAGGTCGGCCTTCGTTACCCTCGCTCTATCGGTGAAAAGGAATCGCTTAACTACGGTTTTCTGTGAGGCTGTGGCATCATTCCGGTGAAACCAGCCCCCTTGTATCCTACGCGCGTTGTTTTTGAAGTGAAAACTTTTTGAACAACATGTATTTTATATTTTGTAAAAAGAATAAATATTATGGTTTAACAAAAATAAATTTTTTGACATGAGAGAAAAACAATTGAACTCGCGACACTGTTACCGTTACCGACACCTCTGTATATAAGTTTTCCTTTCTGTCGACACTGTTTTTCTTATACTTATATTACTGTGAACATTACCTTTCAAGTCTCCAATACCGTCTCCATCACTGTCCTTAAAAGATCTTGGATATATTTGATAGATAACCGTATTCTCCCACCAATCAAGCGGCCTTAGTTCTGGTGGTTGTGTCACATCCCTCATTACAACCCACGTCACCACTCCCACTACTACACCCACCACCACTGCTGTAACTAAACCGACTCCAACCAATTTCAACATTTTGTTAGCACTGGCTTTTATCTCTGTAGGGGTTGTATTTAAACAAGCCTTTATCTAGTGGGTATGCTATAATGTTTTATTGTATTGACTTTGATCTTATATACCATAAACATTTTAGTATACTATGAATAATTTGACATGTATAATAAACTTATATCACCTTATTAAAATAACGTACTCTTGACTGTACTGACGTACGCGACGGGCCTGTTGGTTCGGTTTGCGCCCAGGACAAATAATTATTGAATGAGCGCGATCATTTTTTATGTATCTGGGTGAAAGGACTATGGCAGGTCCCCATACTTAATTTTAGTTGAACTGAAATGGTAGGGTTTAAATATCAAAAAGGCCTAAAACTTACTAGCGAAAGAAGTCTAGGAAAAAAGATATTGTATTTTGAATGTTTTGTTTAAACCTCCTTTCTAAGGAGAGGCTTATGTCCAGCAGTGGACTATTAAAGGCTGTTGATGAAGATGAGGGTATGGTGTTTCTGTTTTACAAATTTAAATCACCATTTGGGACCAATCTGCGAGTAGGAATCGGGTCGCTAATGACCGAGTTCTGAGGTAACAAATATGTATAAAAGAGAATAAAATAAATACATCTGAATTGAGAAAAGTAATTTTAATTAACATTATCCACGGCCTTTAATAGGCCACTGTTGGACATAGGCCTCTCCTTAGAAGGGCAGTCTTCGCCTTCTATATCACGCTGGACAGACGGATTGGGGGTTTGTTCCAAGATTTCCCTCTCTTGTGCTGTTATCCTGCATAGTTTGCTCCCTCGCGACACCCACGGGATGAACAGGAGTGGTGACACTCCCTAGTCTTAAACCGTTACCACAGAGACAATTTTAAATAACATCAATACCAGATTTGTGACACATCTCTATACCAGCGGATGTCTAGTCCATTATTATCACGGTCCAGTAACGTCCATACATTAAATGACAGGTAGTTTCGGTACATGTGGTACTCTAACTATCAATTTAAAATGATGATGTTGACATACAAGCATGTGTTTACTATATATATATATATATGTATCTATGGTCTACCAATAAGAACGTCCTGGTTTAAAAATTGAATAAAACACACAATTTTTTATAAAAATTCATCCGATTGATTTATGGACTCAAAGGCCGGCAATGGACTTGTGACTCGTGAGTTGCTGAGTTGCAAGTGGCTTGAGTAGTCACTTGCCACCAGGTGACCCGTCTGCTGCTTTGCCCCCTGTACCGTAAAAAAAAAAAAAAACTCGTACTTAGTAGATACTGACCTACTTCAAGTTTTAGTCTAAAACAAATTGTTTAATCAATACAATCAATTTAATTTCTACGTGTGTCAATCGTTGTCATGCATGCTATCTTAATAATCACGTTAAGTAACTTTTGTCATTGGAAACTGAAAGCCTTTAATTATAACCCATGTTGATTAACTTTAATTGTACTTTTTAAAACGTTAGTATTAATATAAACACGCCAACTGAACCATAGATCAGTATGTATGATAATCTATTTTTGATATTATGTCGATGTTGTAATTACATCCATTAATTAAAACATCGATATTCCACTATCTGTACGTACTGTGGATGCCATGTTTTACGCTTCATCTTAGATTACGAAAGTAGGTGTACAACGATATCCCATTCTGTTTAGTAGTGCCCGAGGTCAAGGTCAAAAACCTTAATGTGTTCCTGGACATATGGTTCAATATGTCGAAGCGGTATAAATAATGAACTACCATCAGATAAGGTACATATCTATAAAATTTAAAACTCATACGAATAAACATACTGTTCATATCTATTCGACTCTGGGGCATTCAGTTGAAGTATAGTTGTTTGTAATTTCATCAATAGATGGGGTTGGGAGCGAATTAGATCGCGCTATGGTTTGGTTTCACGTCAGGGTATATAAACCTTTATGACTTATTAATAAATTAGTCTCACTCTGGGGTACTGAAGTTTACTTTATACGGTTAGCACCGGGCTTCGGGGTACCTTGTATCGATAAACGGTACACATCAACAGCCTTTAGTAGTCCACTGCTGGACATAGGCCCCTCTTTAGAGGTTTTGGCCTACTAACTATACCATTATATGTAAAAAAAAGGTTCCAGTTTACCTTCTCTTTGCAGTGCTGTTGTCCTGCGTAGTTTGTTCCCTTAGTCGGCTCCTACGACACCCACAGGATGAATAGGGGTGGCGACATACCGTATTTTTAATCTGTCACCACAGGGATACGGTACCACGCTACACATACTTGTATATTATTAAAATAAACGATAGTTTTTCTTTAATATAAACTTAAGAAACTGTTACTAATTTGTTTTTTGTGAGAACCAAAATAGATAAGTGCAAATGAAATAACTTGAAAGCTCGAACAACGCTAAATGTAAGATTTTATTCCATTGTGCACTTCGTATTCGGTAAACAAAGTGACATAATATTATAACCTAACTTAAGACAAAATTTAATATATGTTATAGATGTAATAAAGTTCTGTCGATATTAAAACAGGAGTAGTCACTGGACTGGCCATGTTCTAATGATTAGCAATCCTGACTGCTAAGCCAGAGGTCGTGGGTTCGATTCCCACCCAGGACAAAAAAGTGTGTAATGAGCACGATCATTTGTTCTGTGTCTGGGTGTAATTTATCTATGATACTTAGAACGGAATAAGAATACAGAGTGTCACCAGCGCTTTTCATCCCGTGGGTGTCGTAAGAGCCGACTAAGGGAAAAAACTACGCAGAACAACAACACTGCAGAGACATGGAAAACTTGACACAAACCCTGTACCAACCCGTCTGGCTAGCGTGGTATAGTAGGCCAAAACTAAGAAGAGGCCTTCTAAGAAGAGGCCTATGTCCAGCAGTGGACTATTAAAGGCTGTTGATGTGATGTTTTCTAGATGACTTAAGTAAAACACATAGTACCTCATAGTAAAATAATTTAATGTTGTATTTACAATAAGGCAGTATAATAATAATCAAATAAATACAATGGCTGCTAGACTGGTGGTGCTTGAAGTACCAAAGCTTCGCCTCCAGCGAGAGTCAGTACATTATAATCGATTACAGTTCTGTAATGAAAAAAAAAGCATAGATATTATTACATCACGCTACCTTCATACGTATCTTATCCAAGTCTAATATCTCTCATCATATGGTTAGATAAAACCTCATGTATACAGCATGAAACAACCTTAAAGTTATGACAACTAATTTTTTTTTTTTAAATTAAACTAATTATTTTCCTTGATCTCGCTTAAAAAGTTCTCACGCTGATTAGTATATCGAAATTCAAACCTCAATGTAGCGTTATAGTCTGGAAGACTGCCCCGCATGGTCTGAACGCGAGGTACTGGTCGACCAAATCGGACGAGAACTGTTCCCGCCATCAATCATTGCTGCCATGCTGGCGGGTGAGGAGGGATGGGGCGCAATGGTCTCTTTCTGTGAAGCTGTAATGCTTCAGAAAGAGCCCGCTGAACGGTATCGGTAGAGGGTCGATCCCGAGCGTAGAGGACGTCGACGGCGCTATCAGCCTAACTAACTCTAACAAGGATGCTTCAAAACTCGTTATTTAATAAAAGGTTTAGCGTAAAATCAATCTAAACTTGTATATAAGTTCACGGCTTGAGATTAAAGCCATACAAAAAACAGGCAGTGACTCACCAGACCTTGAACACCTAACGGTCTGTAGGAATCCTTTGGTCGGAGAATGTTTAGGAAATATCTGATTCTATACTAATATCACAAAGTAGAAGAGTTTGTTTGTTTGGTTAAACGTGCTAATCCCAGGAAATACTGGTTTGAATTGAAAAAATCTTTGAGTATTAGATAGCCCATGCATCAAGGAATGCCATCAAGAAAATGTATGCCTTTAGCGAGGTGCAGGCGAAGTTGCGCAGGTCAGTTAATAACATATAAAACTAGAAAGCTTGCAGTATATTGAAAATACCAACCCTTCGACTCTTGTTGAATTTATGCTTGACACGTATACGGTCGCCGGTAGCGTTAGATAAGGAACTCTGTTCAAATCCACGGTTTCCGTTCTTTCTCCAACATTGAAAACCAAAACGTAGGTGTCGAAGGTCCTGAGGTATCTTATAAGGTAGAAAACGAAATTGGAAAAGGCCCTGATGTTATAGTCGCCGTGGATGAGGGTTGTTGTCTTGCGGAGTCGCGTTAAAGCTTGGTAGACCTGGAAGGAAACGAAATTATATAGCAATAAGTAGTCTGACTTTCAACGTTCATGTATCACCATCATCATCATCATCAATAGCCTTCAGTAGTCCACTTTTGGGCATAGGCCTCTCATTAGTAAAGAGGTTTTGGCCTACTATACTAGGAATAGTTCTCTATAATTAAATCTAAGTTTTCTGAAATCTCCTTTACAGCATCTGTATTAGTAGGGGGCGGCTGTATTAGTATGCCTGCACGGATGGCGCAGTGGTTTAAGCGGTCGCCACGCCGCTTCCTACTGCGCCGAGTGTTGTAGGTTCAAACCCCACATGGGACAACACTTTGTGTGATTCTCAAATTGTTGTTCTGAGTCTGGCTGTTCTTTGTGCCCGTTTCGTGTACGTTGGTATAGTCCCCCGTGACACAGGAATATATTCCTATTGCGGGAGTTGACTTTTTTTTTTTAAAGTGGCGGAAGAAAATAAATGGGTAATTTTTATAAATGGGTAAAAGTTTCAACGTTCAAGAGAGCGTGCGGTTACCGTAACCAAAACCCAACTTCTAATGATTCTGGCGGGGCTCAAAGGACAGCAATGCAGTTGTGACTATTAAGTTACGGGTCACTTCTGGCTTTAAAAATCTCATATATGCATTAGAAAAAATCAAAAAAGAATCTACATGTACAAACATAAAGTTGAAATTACAAACTTATATTCACCTTATAATGGCTTCTATCATCCTCCTTCTGTTTCGCTAAATTCAATTCCATGTAATCACCTGCTATTGGCAACCAAGTACGATTGCCGGTGGAAAAGCCAGCATTGGTGGAATTATCCCAATGGAACGGAGTCCTAGCTGGATCTCGAGAAAATTCCATATAGTTGCTTTCGTTCCCTTGCTGGAGAGCTTCCACGTCCACTGTATCATTCCAGCTGACATAACCATCCCTCATGCCAATCTCTTCCCCTTGATATGTAACTGAAGCCCCCGGTAACATCATGTTTAAGCTGTTGAGTCCGTCTACCATGTCAATGCGGAACCGACTTGGCATTCTGCTGTTGTCGTGGTTTCCAAACTACAATTTCACAAAATATGTATAATATATGCTTATAAGTTTAGTTGTGTAAAAGTAATTCATTATCGACAAGAACAAAATATTACTGATAACAATCTCCTGCACGATTGATGTTGATCTTGATGTGTGATGTTGTTGATGATTGCTGTTTCACCGTAGGAAGTTATCATTCAGCAAATATTGGCTGCCTCCCATAAGCATGCATACCATAAATACCCGGTGTCAAGAAATTCGTTCATTGCTTTTCGCCGACTGAATGAGGGAACGTGAGGGAATTGAGGTCCATGAGTGGCGGTGGTCACTCACCATCAGGTGACTCGTCTGCTCGTTTGCCGTAAAAAAATCAATGAATAAATCTATCCCCAACGCAGTAAAAAAATCAATGGATAAATCTATCGCAGAACGACTCTGGTCACAGATTTACATACTTCAGGTGAACGGTCCATCTAACTTGAAGCCATGGTTCTTTCTAATCTATGAAGACGATTTTTGGCAACTTACATAAGCTTATTCATTTGCCAAGACATTTTGATAGAAGATGAGTAGATTCACTCACCTGCCAATTAGCTGCAGCACCTTGAGGCATATGTGTAAGCCACTTTAGAACAGTATAAACAAGATCTCTGGCATTAGATTCAGCTGAAACATCAGTGATGAAATCGAAATTGAAGGGGAAATGAGCGCCAATATAACCGTACTCGTTGCCATAGTACAACATCGTCATGGAGATGTTAGCGTAGCCTTCGGAGAAGATGACCCTGAAAATGGCAATTTAATAATATTTCGCTTTAATGTACACCAGGTATAAATATACAATAATTAACTTACTTAGGTTAGACAAGTACAAATGGCGGCCTTATCGCTCAGAGGCAATCTCTTACAGGCAAACGTGGTATGGAGAGAAAACATAAAGGGGAAGAGGCTAGGTAGGTATAGAGTAATAGCTATTGTGTAAGGAAATATATAAAAAGAGGAAATCAGAGTAGTATATATATATATATAAAGTAGTATATATTCTTGTACTTAGATGAGTATATAACGTACCAGAGGGAATATACTATGTGCAGAACAAGGCTAGTGGTGTTATTAGATACATATAATAAATAGGTGTGATTTATAACTTCTAAATACATATATTGTATGAAACCTTATTGACTTAGTAGAAAGTTAATAGCTTATGGGACATCGATATCTCCTAAATAATAATCTTTTTGAAGGAATTCTTTTTGAAGAAAGGAAGGAATTCTTGTTAGAATTCTTGGAATTCTTGGAAGCAAGTGTTTGTGCACGTTTGATTGCGACCGGGCGTTCCACAAACGAACTGCTTGAACAGGGAAGAAGACGTCGAAGAGTTTAGAGGTAATGGCAAACTGAACTAAATTTTCTTTAATACGAATTATCCCAAAGAGCCCTGCTGACATTTATAGACACAAACTCGTCTTTTATCCTTAAAGAGATAGACAGAGAAGTATTTAAAGGCCACGTTTTGCAGACTATAGTGCAAGCCTATTACCGTCAACTGGGCACATATATTTCAAAATAAACATCACAATTATCATCAAAAGTCTTTAATAGTCCACTGCTGGAATTGGGCCTCTCGTGATTTAGGCAATAGCAAACGAGATTATGGATCAAAGAAATACTATTCAATTAGACGATGTGGTTTAATATACTACAGTATATCAAAAAACGTCTCCCAAATAAACTTATTGCAAAATACAGTTTATAAAATAAATCTGAAGATTTTCTTGTCCAAATGTCCCTTTTACATTATATCTAATTTTAGAATCCCTTGAGAAAATATCATTTAAAAAGATGCTATTAAGGTCTTAAAGTTTGTAAGTTCTTAAATGATTACAAACTGGGGCATAATAATCGTTCGAATACTTTTTTAAGATGAGTTAATATTGAAAGTAGATTAATAAAGAGTTTAAGTGCTTGAATACTCGTAATAATCCGATTTTATTTAAAAATTGAATGAATTAATTTATAATACATTTTGATGAATTAATTTCATTGTGAATGAAATAAAATGATGTTTTATTAAATTGCAAAATTGTAAACTGCGTATAAAGTTGCATTTAACAGCTAAAAAATACAAATAAATTAAAAAAATCGAAATATCGATTAATCTACTTTGAAGTTTTCACTGTAAGATTTGCTGAAATGAAATGGAATATTGAATGTTACATTAAATTTGTAAGTCAGGACGTATTACATTTCGTCTTGAATATACATGCGTATGTTCACAAACATGCAATGTAATTTAAATTAAATTAAAAAGCGATTCTTCTGTGCGTGTGTGACTCCGACCGACGACCGAATAGCGTAGTGGTTTGTGTAACGGACTGGTATTCCAAAGGTCGCGGGTTCGATTCCCGCTCAAGTCAAGCATTTGTGTGCATGAACATTTAATGTTTGATTTGGTCTGTCTGTTTCTATGTATAATATGTATGTATTTACAAAAAAAAAGTATATATGTATTTATATCAGTTGTCTAGTACCCATAGTGAAAGCTCTGCTTAGTTTGGGACTAGATGGCGTTGTGTGAATGTGGTAGAATATTATTATTATTACTCATTTGTGTGACGAAGTGGATTCAGGAATAGTTTAGATTCAAAATTCGGTATACTGCGAAATGTTATTCCTTTTCAGAGATGGTGGCAAAGTTTCGCGGGTCAGCTAGATAATATATAGATATATAAAATTCTCGTGCCACAATGTTCGTTCCCGTACTCCTCCGAAACGGCTTGACCGATTCTCATGAAATTTTGTGTGCACATCGGGTAGGTCTGAGATTCGGCCAACATCTATTTTTCATACCCCTAAATGGTAAGGGTGACCCATCCCTAATTTTTTTTTGTTTTGCAATACAACGTTTTCCGGGGCAGCTAGTAATATATAGATATCAATTAAATTCATGACAACATCAAAAACAATTTGAATGTAATGTAAAAATTGTAAGTCGGCCATGTTCTTTTCGTTAAACTAATTGAAAGCATTGAAATGAAACGTTTCGTTGAATACTCAGAAAAATCCCCTTGCAAATAATAAATTACTTAGATAAGAAAACGTATTTTAATTGGCAAAGTAAATTGTAAAGATAATAATCTGATATCATCCGATATAAAAATTTAGTTTAAGACAAATTATCTTTGTCACTTGGTGGTTTGAAATCTCGATGGCAATGAATGTGGCTCGCATTGCGAATAAGAGAGGTCAATTGACAGTATGGAGGGTCCAACACACAGCCCGACCCTCTACCCAATCAATCATGCTTGGGACTGGTCGGACGATGCGTGGGACAGCCCAACTCGCCCCTGATCAGGTTTTGAGAGTTTTTCTTCCTCATAGAGGAATAGAAGAATGTTTACAAATATCGTAGGCGAAATTTGGCGTACAGTATTTTAAGTTACTTATAGTTAGTAGGGTTCCGTACCTCAAAAGGTAAATAAGGAACCCTTATAAGATCACTTTCTTGTCAGTTGGTTCGTCTGTCCGTGTGTCACCACCGATTTTATCAGGAACGGGTAGACCTAGCAAGTTGAAATTTATACCAGATACTGAGGTCTATGGTCCCTATTAGGTGTATAAAAATCAAGGCCTTAAGTCAATACGATAAAAAGATATGGGCAAATTTCGATTTTCGCGAAAACTTGTAAGTACCAAAATTTACCTTAATTCTCAACTTTTTTATTTTTTAGAATTTTCTCTTTACTTGTGCTGTAAGACCTTGCTTTTAACCCAAATTGACAATTCTAGGTATCCTTTAGGTTTTGGGTTGAAAACCTATGGTAGGTCCCGTTGACCTAGAATCACGAAATTTGGCAAAAAGAAACGTCTTACAGCACAAATAAAGGAGTAATTCCAATCTATACTAATATTATAAAGCTGAAGAGTTTGTTTGTTTGTTTGTTTGAACGCGCTAATCTCAGGTACTACTGGTCCAATTTGAAAAATTCTTTCAGTGTTAGATAGCCCATTTATCGAGGAAGGCTATAGGCTATATTTTATCATAGGAGCGGAGCACCAATGAAGAATGTTTCAAAAACGGAGAAAATTTATTACTATTGAGAGACGCAGACGAAGTTGCGCGGGTCAGCTAGTATATAATATGGGCAGGTGTTCCAATATATAATATACATAAATTTAGTCAAGAAATGTATCTAAGTATAATAATCTAAGTTCTAGAGCTCAATGTACCTGTATGATAGGTCTCATTTCATATGTTGCCATGTGTATTGTCCCAGCATTATTATAAGCTATTATCATACTCGTATAATTCATTGTTAGTTCCACCATCCATCAACAGCCTTTAATAGTCCACTGCTGGACATGGGCCTCTCCTTAGAAAGGAGCTTTTGCAGTTCTCCTTCTCTCAGCAGTGCTGTTGTGTTGCGTAGTTTTCTCCCTTAGTCCCTTAGCAGCAACCTTTAATAGTCTACTGCTGGATATTGGCATCTCCTTAGAAAGTAGGTTTTGGCCTACTATACCATGCTATATACTATTACCACGCAATATACTATACCACGCACGTTTTACTTCTCTTTGCAGTGCTGTTGTCTTACGTAGTTTTCTCCCTTAGTCGGCTCTTACGACACCCACAGGATGAATAAGGATGAATAAGGGTGAAACTCTTCACTCTTAATCCGTCACCACACGGACAGTTGCTTGTTAGTTTTTTTTTATGTTAGAGGGGACAGACGAGCAGACAGGTCACCTGATGGAAAGTGACTATCGCCGCCCATGAACGTCTGCAACTCAGGAGTCACAAACGCGTTACGTTAGTTGCTTAATCTTATTAAATAGTTTAGATTTACTTTTATTTATCACTTACCTGGTATCACCACCGTGTTCCTCGTTATATCTGTCGATGAAATCTCTCCACTCATGAACTACATCGTATATTTCTATCAAATCCTTGGTGTATAACGGTATTGTATATCCTCGCTCATTCGGCTGAATATGTACCAAGCCACTCAACGGATCATCGGGATACCTTCCACCATGATCAGCTGGATTAGCTTCAAAAAGATATGGTAAAGCATCTAGTCTGAAGCCATCAACCCCCTTGTCGAGCCAAAATCTCATAATGTTGAACATTTCATCTCTGACAGGTTGGTGGGTAAAGTTAAAGTCTCCTTGTTCGATAGCAAATTGGTGAAGGTAGAACTGCTGCCGCGCGTCACTCCATTGCCAAGCTGATCCACCGAACTGGCTAACCTTGAATAGAAATATCCGATTGGGAATTCTCTTTCTTAAGCATTTATGTGATTAGCAGATTAAACAAGAGAAATTTACTATAAAAAAAGCCAATGGATTCTAAAGAAGAGTTATTCTTTCTCTAATTTTCTTTAAAAATAACTCCCGCATTAGAAATATATCCTGTGACTTTACAAACATACATGAAACGGACACAAAGAACACCCAGACTCAGAAAAACAATTTGTGAATGACAAAGTGTTGTCCCATGTGGGGATCGAACCCACAACACTCAGCAGTAGCAAGCCGCGTGGCGACCGCTTAAACCACTACGCCATCCGTGCAGTCAATAGGATTATGTGTATTGAGCACATATCACGGGGTAACAAAGCTAAATATTTACTGGATACCAGCGCTTTTGGGGAAGAGTAGTGTTGAGGATCGCTGATGTGTTAAGAACAGAATTTCTATTTATAGGCGTAGTGTGTATAGTTTTAGCAAATTCGATTCCGCATACAATTCTTATAGGAGATTCTGATAGTGTTCAAGGTCTGAAGCAGTTCCCAAGCGCATGAAGAAAAAGTGTAGATTCTCGTCAGTACTTTACAGGAATTTAAACTAAAGATCTATGTATCATCTTGGTCATGACATGATGTTATAATATATAACTCTGTAGCAGTGAGGCAAAAAAAGGTAGGATAAAAGACCTTAATCACACAGTACACTCAAAGTTTAAAAAAGTACATGGCACACAATTAATAGCTCTGTGCAAGGACCGAAGTTAGTCATACATTACTTTTAATCGTTTTTGAATTACATTCTAAATAAAGTGTTAAAGGGATTGTTTCAGAATAACTGAACTAAAATAAACCTCTATATAACATCCCAGGATCTATTTTCAGTTGTACTTTAGGGTTTGCGGGAAATCTGGTGGAGCTAACTTTAGCTTTAGTTAACCGAACCGAATATTTTTGGAACAGTTTTATTTAGACGACGTAATGAGAATAACGGATGATATCGTAATGTGTAAAAAAGTTCAAAGGATTTTTGGAACATCTAAGCAGAGAGTTCCGTGTAGGTGGGAGGCTTCCGGAGCTTTTAACCCCACTTAAATTATGCCAACCCTATATTTGGATCAAAGAGAGTTGCTCCTGAATTGAAGTATTGATGGGTCTACGGCACTCGATACTCAACTGTAAAGAAACAGAGTTTTCTCGACCGATGTTGAGTATACCGAAATTGAGTCACAAATATCCATCCTCTAAATTTTCGCCTTTAATTATAACAAAAACTTCATACATCATGGTCTGATTCTAAACTAGACAGAGCCTGTCCTATTTTAGCTAGACTGATGATAAACATACTTTTATAATATATTTCTAAATACATACATTATAGATAAATTACACCCATACACAGAACAAATGATCGTGCTCATCACACAAATTTTTGTTCTGGAATCGTATCTACGATCTTCTAGCTGCTAGTCAGGGTCACTAGCCACTAGACTACATGTCAGTTTATAGTAGGTTTGGTCCCCGTTTAAAAATAAATAGTTTAAAAAAAACTACATATGTGCTATTTTAATCTATTTCTGTGTCAAGACGTGTTAGGTGTTAGGTGATCGGAGCCTCCCCCTTCCCCGGCTTCCTGATTCTAGAAGGGATTTTAAAGGGCGGAAACACACTTGTAACTCTTGAGTAGTAGATGTCCATAAGCGACAGTAATCACTTCCCATCAGATAACCTGCCTGCTCGTTTGGTTCCCTATACCATATAAGACCATCTCTTACCCAGTTGGATGGTGGAAGTCTGTTGGAAGCGTTGTTGGGGTCTTCCAACCCATCGTCCCACATGAAGTAGTCTCTGTACCTCGGATTGTTGGCCTCTGATTCTATGAAATAGTGAGATTGGGTACTCGCGTGATTTGGCACGAAGTCCAGCAGCACCTTGATACCTGGTAAACAGTTTATCTCCTTAGTTAGTTAGAAGCGGTGAAGATAAAATAGAGGCAAAATCAGTAATATTGGGTTCGATTCCGGGCATTATTTGTATGCAAGGTATCGAACCTAAGCCTATACGGCTATGCTGACTTTGGGTCTAGATAGCCTCCATGATCCTGAAATATTAATAAATAAATGCGGTAAATATAGTGCAGTATATATAAAAGATAAGGATAACTTGAAACAACCCCTATACATAATGATCAAACCATTATCTTCTATTAGGAAAACTATGTTAACATGCAATAAATTTGTAATAATTTAGCTAATAAAATATATAAAACCTCATCAACTGCCTCTACCAGTCCACTGCAGGACATAAGCCTCTCCTTAGAAAGGAGGTTTTGGTTAATAATTAGTCAAGTATTAAAATATAAATCTCGTTATATTTAAATTCTAAATACTTGTTCATCAACAGCCTTTAACAGTCCACTGCTGGACATAGGCCTCTCCTTAGAAAGGAGGTTTTGGCCTACTGTACCACGCTGGCCAGACGAGTTGGTATAGGGGTTGTGTCAAGGTTTCCTTCTCTTTGCAGTTTTGTTGTCTTGCATGGTTTGCTCCCTAAGACGGCTCTTACGACACCCACGGGATGAGTGGGAGTAGTGATAATCCGTATTCTTAATCGGTCACCACACGGATATTAAATACTTGTTAGTTTTGTAATCTTATGTAATCCATTAATTCATCCTATCATCGAAGTCAAAATTAGCTGAAGACAAAAGTGTTTTTGCATAAAAGTAAGGGTGATTCACTTTGCCCTATTTTTATTTAATACACAAATGTTTTATTATCTTACTAAACCCCTCAATACCTAATTAAATATCGTTACCGGCCGATAAATTTGCAGATATCTCTTTGATTATGCTAACGAATTATCTTTACATTACATTTTTAATGTATAATGATTTATTATTAATTAGATAATAATTTATAATTCTGTCTAAATTAAGCTAGTACTTGAATAAGACTTTACATAAATTACCAGCTTTAGTTATGAAAATGATATCAAATGAACGGTTTATTTAATTTCCGACTTTTAAAAAAAATACACAAAATATAACAAAAAAATACGTGTGACTTATTAAATTCTGCCGCATTAACGCCTACTCATATCGTAACCAGAAAGAGGTCTGACAGCGTTGACAATTCTTGAGATGTATCTTCTAACTATAATCCTGGCCTATGAAGCCAGAACCCAGAAGATCATCAACAGCGTTTAATAGTCCACTGCTGGACACAGGCCTCTACTTAGAAAGTAGGTTTTGGCCTACTATACCACGCTGGCCAGACGGGTTGGTATAGGGTTTGTGTCAAGTTTTCCTTCTCTTTACAATGCTGTTGTCCTGCCAGTTTACTCCCTTATTCAGCGTTTACGATACCCACTGGATGAATAGGGGTGGTGACACTCCGTATTCTTAATCCGTCACCATACTGACGTAAATAAGATCCACTTACCTAATTCATGCGCCTTGTTCAGCAACTCATCAAAGTCTTCAATATCCCCATACTCATAATGTATTTTATAATAGTTGCTGATATCATATCCGAAGTCTATCATCGGAGACTCGAAGATAGGTGACATCCATATTGCATCTACACCTGAATCTGCGAAATGTTGCAGCTCGCTGATGATACCTGAAAGCAGTGACACTTGCTTTTTAAGTAACCCTTTTACTGGCAGTAGCCTGGATCAGTCTAGCACCTTTCAGACCCTTCAACTCACCCCCCCACTATTTTCATCCGATCTTTTTTTTCCAACACATTTTTTAAATTAATCATGTGGTAAAATACTTTTCACAAGTAAAAGTCAAAATAGTCAGTAGACTGGTGCACCTCTAGATCAATGAATCCGGGTCGGAAATCAAAGCCGCCTTCAAGATGTTAACATTCATCAACATCATCACCAACAGTCTTTAATAGTCCTCTGCTGGAAATAGGCCTCTCGTTAGAAAGGAGGTTTTGGCCTATTATACCACGCTGCCGAACGGGATGGTAAAGGATCTGTATCAAGTTTTCCTTCTCTTTGCAGTGCTGTTATCCTGCGTAGTTTGCGCCCTAAGACAGCTCTCATGCCGCCCACGGGATGAATAGTTACACTCATTTGACGGGTCTGTTGGTCTAGTGGTTAGCGACCCTGACTGCTAAACCGGAGGTCGTGGGTTCGATTCCAACCCAGGACAAATATTGTGTTATGAGCACGGTCATTTGTGCTGTGTCTGGGTGTAATTTATCTATAATATGTATGTATTTAAAAATATATAAGTATGTTTATCAGCAGTCTGGTTACCATAGCACAGGTTCTGCCTAGTTTGGGATATATATTTTATTATTATTATATTATTATTTCCGTCACCACACGGATATCGTTAACTGTATTCAATTGTATAATGACTGTGCATTAGCTTATCTGTTGATTGATCCACTGTTGATTATCCACCATCGACCGCCGCTGTCCAGCTCCAGGAAGGAGATGGATAGTGGATGTGGATTCATATATATACCTAATATTCTTCATGAAACTAACAATATTGAACAAACCGATGTTTGATACAAAAGACTAGGCTGTCAGCGTAATCGATTAAAATAAAAAATAAACAAATTATAACATAACCAAGGTCGATCATCATTACTAATGGTATAATAATAAACGAAAATACTATTTCATTGTGTGAGAAATAATGTGTTTAAGACACCATTTTAAGAATTTAAATAACCGATTTAAATTCTACTGTACGAGCAAGCTGAAACATAGCATTGACGTGACCAGACCAGGGTATCAGATACATCTATATTGGCCCTGTTTTTAAGGCTTATTCTCTGCAACTGAGCGATGTGGTATCTCTTACCGTATTAAAATGCTCACACTGTGTCGACTATCATTCTAATCCGAACGTTAGGCAATACTATGGCTTAAAAGCCGGTAGATTAGGAATTAAATGATAAACCTGGGCATGAATTAAAAAAAAAAGCAATGTAGGTAAGAGAGCGAGAGCCACCAATAGCTTGTACTTAAACTGGCCGTTACCAGAACCTCGAAACTCTTTTACCTTGCTTAAAAAAAAAAAATAGGGCCTCTGACACACAACGCCATCTAGTTTCAAACTAAGCAGAGCTTGTACTATGAAAACTAGATTGACTGATAGAACATCTATACACCTTTTTTTTTGTAAATACATACATAGAAAGCGTCCAAACTCCGAAAGAAATGTTTGCAGATTAACAAACATTTGGTCCGACCCGGGACTCAAACCCGAGTCGCATATGCTACCACTACACCACCAAGGCAGTCGGATTAGTTATTTAGGCTGGTATTTTGTTAATAAATCTTTTATAAAATGATGTTTGACTCTTTAAATTTCATGATGAAACTTACCCTGCAAGTCTCCAATCCCATCAGCATTACTGTCCTTGAAAGATCTTGGGTAGATTTGGTAAAGCGTGCAGTGTTGCCACCATTCCAGGGGGATGATCTCCGGGGGTGGGTCGTTCCTAGTGGCTATCACAACCCAAGCGACCAACCCTGGATTTTAAGAAAAAATGTGTCTGTATAAACATATAACTCTATCTCGTGTAATCAAAATAAGTGCTCAAATCACTTGACACCTTTCTTTTTTTTTTTTTTCAGTGCGGAAATCCACTCGGATACCACCTGTCGGTGGCATGTCGGACTCGAACCGACTAAAACCGCACGCCATCTCGGGTACTAATAGCCGGGGAACCAGGTATACCCTAGAAAGGAAGTCCCTGGTGCCCCGACATACCTCGGGTCATCTACAGACGAGTAGACGACCCCCCTGCCGTGTGGGAACCCCATGTTCCCTGTGCTCCCTGGAAGCGAGCGCGCTTCGCAACGCGCTCGCCGCCAACCCGGCCTGCTTCTGCTAGGGTGACAGATTGCCTCACCTGTCACACCCAGGCCTGCGCTTATGGAGGACGGAGGTCGTTCTGCGACCTCCGGCGCCTGAGTCGCCTGCGGTACCTGGCCCGTTCCCGGGCCTGGCGGGCTGGGAGAGTCCTACACCTCTCCCGGTCCCGCTCCGCCGTCTCCTTCTGCGAGCAAGTTATGCTCGCAGAAGGAGACGGCAGAGTTCCACGCACTCTCGCTCCGCACGCTAGCCAGTGTGCTAAAGGGTTAATCTGATAATATAAATTGGTAATTTATTAGATTCTAAATGAAATAGCGAAATATTTCTGTGAAGGTTTATATGGAATTGTCAATAAATAAGGATGATAACAATAATTCATTTTGTTTAACTCAATTCTATGTATTTATAATTTATACCCAACACCGAGGTGTTGCAAGACTAGTGTTAATGTTTTCATTACAAGTGCTATCAAAAGCGGTGACAATTTCCAAATACAACGAAATACACGCTTCTAAACCATCTAATTCCACCCACACCGCTGTAACTCGTGTACACCAGGATCCACGAACACACCGAGTTATGACACTCGGGAAGTCCCAGTAAGAAATTAAACTGTCTTGGACCCCTCAACGAAATTAATCAGAAGAAAATTGGAGGAGTTGGAAATACAGTAAATCCACTTCCCTCCTTAGCAAAGCGGGAGACAAAATGAAGTAAAATAGGCTTACGCCTTTTTAAACAGGGAAGCACCACGGCCACAAAATATTACGGGTCCTAGGTGAGCTATATTTGATTTCTATAATATGTATGGGAGAATCACCTAAACGCACGGAAATTCACCCTAGTTGACACAAGATCCCCATAGTATACCAAAACCATCTAACGAAACCACACTGAACTACAGAGTGAAAGCTTATCCTAGATCGTGCAATCGAAATTCTCGAGCCGATAACCTATAAATAACTTTCCATCATCAATAATAGTAATAGCCAATATTGAGAGAGCCAGGGGACATGAGCCAGGGGAGTTTTTTTTAAATAATTAAAAAATGTTTGGACAATATTACCTTTAAGTGGGTACAATTAATACTATTTTGTGGGTATTCACATCACATCACATCACATCATCAGCCTTTAATAGTCCACTGCTGGACATAGGCCTCTCCTTAGAAAGGAGGTTTTGGCCTAGTACACCACGCTGGCCAGACGGGTTGGTATAGGGTTTGTGTCAAGTTTTCCTTCTTTTTGCAGTGCTGGTGACCTGCGTTGTTTTGCGCCCTTAGTCGGCTCTTACGACACCCACGGGATGAATTGGGGTAGTGACATTCCGTATTCTTAATCCGTCACTACACGGGGTGGGTATTATTACAAACATAACATTTCAAACTCAAAATTCCATATGTGCTAATTCAGAATTGAAAAAAAAAACTTAAGATTTAAACTAATCGAAAGCAACTTTTAAAATGAATTCTTAAATTATAAACGCATGGAGAAGATAAGATATATATTAGAAGATTTTATATGAATTCTTAATTTACCTGCTATGACCCCCAATACTCCCAACACTCCAATAACGATGGCTGCTTTGCATAAACACTTCATTTCGACTGACAACCTGATCGTCCAATGCGTCAGCACGTTATCAAACAACAATAAAATAATTATGTATTTACATCGAAAAAAATTTGTCATCGGTCTGTTAGGTATTTTTTTGATACAAAGTCGTATACGTTGTATTATACCATTTAAATAGTTTATGTATACATTAATATGTGAAGCAAAAACTTTGTACGCCTTTTCAAGAAAATTGGGCGAAGGGATAAACATGAAATTTGACACAGTTAAAGTAAATATGGAGAAGAAGTGCATAACACTATTTTTTTAAATATAAAATGCATTAGAAATACATTACAGATGAATCCTTTAATTTTAGAGATATGGTCTTTGACAAAAGACCCATAATAAAGTTCAAACTTAAAAATTTAATAAACTATGGTCGAAATTCGATCACTTGACGAGCACTAGTGTGTATAAATATATCAATGAGTCCTATTCGCAATATAATAGGACATATCGAGAACTTAAATTGGATTAAAATATTTTTGGCCGATACATTATTGGTTTATTACAGCAATGTACACGGAGATTATATTTCAAGTCCTTGCTTTCACTTACCAAACAACAGATTCTTGTTTACAAATCAATTTTGTTTTGAATTACACCAATTGTGGGTATTTTAGGGGAAACTTAAAACAAATCCTATACCAGCGTGGTATAGTAGGCCAAAACCTCCTTTCTAAGGAGAGGCCTGTGTCTAGCAGTGCACTATTAAAGGCTGTTGATGGTGATGATGACGGGTATTTTTAGAAGGCGAAGTCAGTAGTAAAGCCAGCGGCCTGTTAAAATACGTAGATTCCAGGGTAAACACAGGCAAGAAACTCTAAAGACAATCTTTCGTTTTGTAAAAACAGACAATTTTTTTAACATGTTTTGGTTTTTACTTTAACAAGTTTTACATTATTATCTTTTGAATAACCTCCTTTAACCTCCTTTCTAAGGGGAGGCCTATGTCCAGCAGTGGACTATTAAAGGCTGTTGATGATGATGATGATGATCTTTTAAATGAAATATGACAACATTTTTTTTCTCTTTAAAGGATGATTATTGGGATAAAAACTCTCCTATGTCCTTTGCCGGGACTGAAACTATTTCTATACCAAAGTTCATCTACATCGGTTCAGCGGTTTAAGCGTGAAGAGGTAACAGACAGACAGACACACTTTCGTATTTATAATATTACTAGCATAGTATGGATAATATTAGTATGGATGCATATGTATTTAAGAATATATAGGTATGAATATTTATAGGCAGTCTGGTCATCATAGTATAGGGTCTGTCAGACGAGGCGAATATAAGAAAGGTCAAATTTTATAGTTTTATCACTAGTAATATTTTTAAGCTATTGCATAGCTTCTATCGAGGGCCTTGAGCGCGGGGACCGAATCCAGAAATTCCGTAACGAAAAAAACCTCACGCTAAAAACAAAACAAAAAACAATACCAAAATCAAATGCTGAACGTCAAAGAAAATTTCGTCAACATAATGCAGAAAAATCTTACATGGATATGTAATTTGATTTAATAATAATATTTTTTATTTATTTATTTAAAAACAAATTGTAATATATGGTTCAATATTTTTATTTAATAAAAGAAAAAAAATTGTTTTCTTATCTGTCACCACGCTCAAAAAGTGTAACTTGAATTAATATCAAAGAAAAAGAAATACTGCATAAATAAAATAAATAAATAATTATAATTGCATAAGTTGATACAAAATGCTATGCAATAGCTTTACCGCGGCAGTCCCCGAGTGCCACACGTCTTTTTTATTATTATTTTATTATTATTACCAAACAGGCAATTTAATTTTGGAATGCGTTCGATCCCCACATATGATACCATCTTGTGTGATCCATAAATTGTTGTTCTGAGTCTGGTGTTCTTTGTGTCCGTTTCATGTATGTTTGTAAAGTCCGCCGCGACAAATAATGCATTGTTAAATACAACTAGCGCAATACAACGCACTAGCTGGAGTTGTATTTAAAAATAAAAAAGAATCGCACAGTTAGTTGAATTCATTATTTTAGTGTACAAACCCTCAGGGGTCATCATTTAAATAGAGCTAAGGGTGAAGTGTTATGTCAACTGTTATATATATTCCTTATGCGGGAGTTGTCTTTTATAAAAAAACAAAAAAAGCAAGTGACAGAACCCTCTAGAACATTTTGTAATAGATCACTAGCACAGTTAGGTGTATTTTGCTTCAATAACTGCTGGCCTGTTGGTCTAGTGGTTAGTGACCCTGACTGCTACGCCAGAGGTCGTGGGTTCGATTCCCACCCAGGACAAATAATTGTGTGATGAGCGCGGTCATTTGTTCTGTGTCTGGGTGTACTATATCTATAATATGTATGTACTTAGAAATATATGTGTATGTCTATCAGCAGTCTGGTTACCATAGTACAGGCTCTGCCTAGTTTGGGATCAGACGGCCGTGTGTGAAATGTGTGAAAATATTATTATTATTATTATTATAACTTTTTAATCCGACTAATTTAACCGACTTAAAAGTTATTCATGATTATAATAATCATGATAACTTTAAATCATTGAATCTTTTAAACCTGGATTTATATAATCGCCAATTTTAATTACAATAATCAGTGGTCTTTTCCTAACTGAAAAAATTCCACTTAGATATTCATGTATCTACTTATATTTAATTTAATACATTAACGTTGAAGCAAAGTCTCTAATGTTAGCTACTATTTATATAATTTTGGTTCCGTATACTGAGCAATAATAACAAGGCTTATCAACAGGTCATCATCATCATCAACAGACTTTAATAGTCCACTACTGGACATAGGGATACTGGACATAAGGAAATTTTGACCTACTATACCACGCTGTCCAGACGGGTTTTTTATAGGAGTTGTGTCAAGTTTTCCTTCTCTTTGCAGTGTGTTGTAGTTTGCTCCCTTAGTCGGCTCGAACGACACGCATAGGATAAAAAGGGATGTTGACACTTCGTATTCATAATCCGTCACCCGGACACGGCACACCAACGAGTGATAATGAACAATCGTCGCTCATGGAGTTCTGCAGTTCCAGAGTCAAAGGCGTTGAATGCGCGCTCGTAAGAACTGCTTAACACTGATTTTATGTGAGGCCATGGTATCACACTTAAGCAAGCTCAGAAGCAGAAGCATGGCTTTTCCACGGTTTGCCACCCTTTTTTTTTCCTGTGCGGAAATCCCCTCGGATACCACCCATCGGTTGGATGGTTACGTCAGACTCGAACCGACCAAAAACCGCACGCCGTCTCGGGTACCAGTTACCGGGGAACCAGGTGTAATAACTACTAGTTAAATCCCTACCGTAGGAAGTAAATCCCTACCGTAGTAATTTTAAACAGAGTACACATTTAGAGATGTTTGTGTGAGACTATTTTTTACACACATTATCTTATCTTTATTTCTGTGTATTAGGTATTAGTTATCTGTATCGGTATCATTAAGGATTAATTACCTTTTTATAGTGATTTACAACTCCATTGGTATAGCTGTTCTTCGCTACTTTGTCCGTATTATATTTAAAGCATAATTTTTTTCGCACTGTGTACTCTATGACGTATAGTTTATCTTAATGTTTGAATTAGTTTAGTAGTTTTGACGACCGGATGGCCTAGTGGTTTGTGTAACGGACTGCTATTCCAAAGGTCACGGGTTCGATTCCCGCTCAAGTCAAACGTTTGTGTGCATGAACATTTAATGTTTGATTTGGTCTGGGTGTTTCTATGTATAATATGTATGTATTTACAAAAAAAAAAAACTGTATATGGATTTATATCAGTTGTCTAGTACCCATAGTACAAGCTCTGCTTAGTATGGGTCTAGACGGCGTTGTGTGAATGTGGTAAAAAAAAAAAAAAAAAAAAAATAGTATTTATTACTCAATCACGCCAGAGATACTAAAGCCCCACCTCTCCCTCCCTCCGGAACTACTTTCACTCGAAGGTCAGCAAAGTCCTTGTACCTGTGGAGTTACAGATGTCCATGCGCCATCAGATCACCCATATACTCGTTTGCCCCGATTCCATAAAACGTGTAGTATACTTACAAGTTGAAACGTGAATAATGCTAATAAAACGTTGTACAGAAAATTAATTATTGAAGTGAAATCTTAAGAATCGTTGTGATTTGAAACTCGATGAAACGAAAATGCGTCACGATAGAGAATAGTACACACACACATAATACACATAAATGTATAGGAGAGAATGAGATAGAATTAATTACATATTATTTTTAATATAATATTTGGTTAGTGTCAATTTTTTTATCTTTTTATTTATTACTAGCTGGTACTAGAATACTACTTAATACTAGCGACCTCGTTCGAGTAGAATTTGAAAAACGCTGCCTTAGTGCCTTATTCTCGGGTCGGGCAAAATTCTATAGGGTTTTTTGAGATGAAATATAGCCTAAGTTCCTCCTTCTATAGACAGCTACCTGGAAGATGACCCGAACAAACAGACAGACAGAAAGATTTTGACATTACACTTTTTTTTTCTGAAGTTACACTTCCGCCGTGTGAGAATAGCACACACTCACACTTTTTTTTAGTCGGGACCTATCGTTCCTGAGCCATGCATTTTGTAACACCATTCTAACACACGTCACAGCAATTTTAATTTATCTTCATCATCAGTGGTAACATTGATGGTAAGTGGCCTACGTCGTACGTTACTGCTCTTTGAGCAAGAATAAGAGGGAGAGCGGGTTTGGCTCCAGTGAGTTCACTCAAACAAAAACAATAAAAGACTTGATTGACTCTGGTTTTCTGTCAAGCTGTTATATCACCCCAGCAACCAACCCATGCACTAGAAAGCCTCTTCCACGTAAATATATAACTCAATCCAACGCAGTATTGACTGTTGTGTCATTTTTTTTTTTTAATCCATACAAATAAATAAAATTGGAGTGTCGGTTTGTAATATTAAAAAAACCGCTTTTTACTAAATGCATATATATG